CTCTCAGAACAATTCCGTTGTGTATTCATTATTATATTGATGTCTTTTCTTTGAGGTCATTTTTCCCCCATTGTTCTAGAGTGGCCTTATTTTGACCCAAGCAACTCCTGGAGATCACAGGGAGCAGGCCAGTTGAGTTCCAGAAACAATTCCAAGTCATCCTCTCCTCTTTTTAACCTGAAAATGAGCTTGCATCAGAAAAGTGACAGGGAGGCGAGGACAAGGAAAAGCAAGCTAATAAATTACGTTCCTTGGTGATTCAGCTAATTGGAAATTTAGCCCATGGTTGATTGTATTCCACGCCCAAGCCTTGAGCGCTGGCACACATTGTCAGGGTGCTGCTACAGCTGTCGGGGTAAAAGGATTTGCTTAAATATGCTCTTGTTGGCACTGCCAGTATAAAAACCAAGAGCAAAGTCACACGGGTAGATAATGAGCCCTTTATCAAAGAAACTGTGTTGGACAATGTCACTGCTCAGAGACATTTCCTAAAAGAAACCCCAGGGCTTCTTCCCACCATTGGATGGGACCCAGAGCTGTTGGGACTGCTGATACAACCTAGTCAGGAGTATTGACACAGCCTCTCGGGATGCAGGAAACACATGACTATCAGTCTCCTCCATCTAGTCCCAAACACATAGCCTTTCTCTCGTCCCGCCATGATGTGCATGCTGAGAAAACACTTCAGACCAGGTGAGACTGTTTTGACTTAGTGGATTTCTCCAACAGCGTTAGAATCTTGTAACTCGAAGTCCTCACTGGGAGAAATGCATCATCATGCTAACGAGGATTTGCTTCCTGCAGCCATAAATAAAGTGTGTTTTGAAGGAGTGACTAACAGTCATTTAGTATGTTTCATGAGATACTGATCTCTCTTTAACTACTGCAGTGTTTGAAAGGGTACTTTATGTCTTTTTGTCTTCAGGGATCTCTATTTATGATGGCTTTCATAGCATATTTTAATATTTAATGTCTAAAGGAGCTTTTACAAAAAACTTTTATTTGATGCACTGGCCCTAGATCATAAGCAGAGAGTGTATGATGATTCTCATCTGAAGATGACCTCACAGAGGAGGGAGGTTACATCTTTGGGCCCTGGTCCCAGGGATGTACTCAAAAGAACAGAACCCCTGCTTTCCACTTGAAGACCACACCACCTACTGCTCAGTTTGTTCCCAATTCTGCATCTGTAAGCTGCCATGCCACATCCAGGCACTTTCATCTAAGACCATAATTAACCAGCTTATTGTCTGCACAAATGGGGAGGGAGCTTTGAGGGGTTCTAAGAGGGCTCCCGGGGGTTTCACCCCATCTTTGTATAACCGACAGGTGTCATATGTTACTGGTTTGACTTTGGGATTTCTGATGAGGAAACTGAGCTCTAACAAAGTTTGACAACGGTCTCTCTGTTACCAAGGTATTTGCTGCTCCGAGTCATAGAACTGGCTGGTGGCAGAACCTTGACAAGAGCTAAGTTCATTCTGGCCCCCAGTCTGGCTAAAGGGGCTCTGGCCTTACGACAATACCATTCTGGATTGGTTAGTGCCTGGCAATGCTTGAACATAGCAGGCACCATCAACTTACCAAAGAAGAGCTTTATGACTCAAATAAATGATTACAAGAAATGTCAACAATGCCCTTGTAAAAGATTAATAACTGTGTACAAAATTCAGGCACTGTGCCACAAGAAAAACACAAGGAACAATAGAGCCGATGATGCAATCCAAGGTAAAACTTACCCAGACCTGAAATGCTATAAAAGCCTTCGCCACAGAATTTCGTGCATAGGAGTTGTGGGTCCCTGCTCTTTTCTTCAGCTGCTGAATTTGAAAGGAAAAGACAATACACATCCCTCGTCCCTACACATGCATGTGACCTTGGATGTTTGCACACATCCTTGTTCCCAATTCTATCGTACAACCCAGATCAGACCCCATTAAAACTTCATGCCCACATCCTCCTCATTCATTTACAAGCTCTGTATTATGCCAGAAGCCCAGTGTCACTAACAGTAAAGTACAAGATGAGTGATTTTTTTCCCAACCAGTGGTCAGCATTGTGGTAGAGGGAACTTGACCGTGTTGTTTTTTTGTTTTTGTTTTTTTTTGTTTTTTTGTTTTTTTTTTGTTTTTTTTTTTTCTTCTCCTTCATTCTTTCTTGGAAGGGATTCAGGAGCATCTTGGCTTTCTACGAGGGTACCTTGCCAAAGGCTGTAAGGCCCTGTGTCATGGAGTCAAAGGGGTATTGTGACATGATCGTTAAAGCGTTACGTTTGCGGCAAGCACTTTGCTGTAATAAGCAAGTTTGATTGTATCTGTGCTCTCAAGTAGAAAGTTCCTGAACAGAGGAATGCTTTGCATATATTAATCCATTTCCTTCCCACATATGTTCTAGGAGGGTGCTACAGTGCCATCTTCTCATTTTACAGCAAAGGAAAAGAGTTAAGCTTTGAGCTCAAGCGAATGTGCTGCATACTATACCGCATAGAGTGACTTAGGTCCAGGCCTGCTTCTTGTTGTTTGCTAACAACAAGTGATCTACCACTTAGCTACGGCTTTTGCCTAATGTGATAGCTGATTTCCTACTGCTGCCAAAGAACTGAGCACAGTGGGTCAGTGGTTTCAGTGGACACCAAATGGCTCCCAACACTCAAGATCGACACTGTTTGGCTCTTTTCAGGAAGTGCACGAACTCTTGCCATAATTTATACTACGGAGTAATAGAGACAGTACCTCTGTCAACCTTCAAAGGTACAAACACATCTGAGGGCAGGTTTTTTTCTATTTTTTTAAATATTTATTTATTTATTTATTTGGGGGAAGAGGAGTGTGTGCCACAGTGTGGATGTGGAGGTCAGAGGACAACTTGTGAGAAATGACCCTCCCTCCAGGGATCAAACTCAGGTAATCAGGCTTGAAGGCAAGTGCCTTTGTTTCCTGACCCATCCTGCTGGCTTCCTGTTATACAGGACAGCAGTTTGATAACTGAGGACAGTTTATCATCTATCTGATTCCTCACCCATTTAGACTAATATGAGAAAGATTAAAAAAAAAAAAAACTGCTCCTGAATTACGTTATGGGAGAGGACACCACATGTCTGTTACGTTCACACTTCACTGTCGAGGACAGCATTGAGAGGAAATTCATCCCCTTTCAGTTCAGAAAGTAAGACTGAGAGGAACATCAGGTAAATGCAGGAAGACTAAAGGGAGAGTCTGCAGCCTCTGCTGGTAACAGGGTACAAGGTACTGAGACAAACTGCAGCTTTGCCCAGGCTGGGCCTCGGGAGGGCTATCCAAGTCTGTTTGGACTCTCAGCTCCTAATGTCTCTCTATGCTAATGTAGGTTGCCTACTGAGCACTCAGCAATAGATTATTTTATAAATGTTTTTGTTCGTATATGGTATATGTGTTCCCCACAATGGCTATGGATTCCTTGGGGGAAAGTCCATAGGTCAATTAGTCAATAACACCTGGAGTAGGCCATCTGTCTCCTTGTCCTTCCCAGAGCCATGTCCGGGAAGCCAGAAGGAAGTGCTGGCATTACCATTTTCTGGTGTATGTATGTGTTTCCAATGCTGTCCATAAAACAACCCATAGGAGATCTTTATTTGCCAACCATTTCCATCACACACAGCATGTACAGCCCTCATCTTATCTTAGAGCGTCCAAGAATGCAGGATCCACACCAGCATCCTCAGACTTGTTATCTCACATGTCCATATTTTCCCAAAAGCACTGGAATCTCACTGTCTGCTGCATCTCTCAGCATGCTGAGGAGTCTTCATGTTCATCAAATGAGAACCAAAAGAACTGGAGTTCGTTATACAATTTTCTGTCTATAGAAATGCAAATGATACTTTAAATCAGCATAATTTCAGAATGAGTAATTTTCTTTGTTAAAAGAATCAGTTCTAACCTCATAGTCCAAATCATATAAATACCACTCTCTTGGCATTTATATGACATTTTGGAAACATTAGATGCCATGATAATAATTTAAAAAAAAACTGAAATATTTTGTAAAATTTCAAGTATTCCTAGAGGTATATTCATTTAAATCATATGGCTTATACATATTAATTTACTCAGTGGGAATTGTATGGGTGAACTTTCTGTCAAATAGTCAATCAGTTGCACATATTTGGCAGTTTAGTTCACGATAGGTTGCCCTATCACTTTGGGAGTGTGGTAATCCGTCACAGTGGAGCATGTAACACACCAAAACCATTAACCCCCTGGCTGGAAAGCAAAGGAGACAGAAGAGGAGCATGGTCTCATAATTCCCTTTGGGGGCCTGCCCCCAACGATGTAAAGACTTCCCACAAGGCCTTGTCTGTCACAGGCCTCTCTCATCTGCCCTGAGGAGCACATATATACTCGTGGATTTATAGACAACACCGAAGAACCCGACGAGAGCAGGATGCATTGGCCAGTGTTCACCATTTCTTTGGTTCTTCTTTTTCATGTCTTATTCTCCCAGTCCTAGTACAGCCAGCTGGAGCTATCATAGGAGCGTTTATTTTGGCCACAGTTTATCAAGGTATATGAATCCAAGTGGGGTGATCGTAACATTTCCTGGGGCCCAGTTCCTGGCACAGTTGATCGGTCCACAGGGGTTCAGGTGTGGCTTTCATGCCGCAAAAGGCAAAATGTCTGAAGTCTAGGACTGAACCCTTGGTAGCTGTCACTGACTGTGTTTTCTTTTATATTGTCAGGAAATGTAATGGAAGCTGATTTGTGAGAAGAGAAAGAACAGTACAGGCACAGAGAAGGGTAGATGAAGAGAGAGAACGGTAGCATCATCGGTTCAGAGTGCTGGTTTCTGCTTAGTCTTACCTGTACACCAATTCCTATAATGTAGTGTATAAAATATTTTTATGTCCTTAAGGTAGAAGAATCTTTTAGCTCATTGAAGTACAGTTTCTAATATTTGGCACCAGATGTTGTGTATAATTTTAAAGACAAAAAGGGGGTGAACAATTATGCTAGGAAAATATGTGTAGTGTGTGGAAAATGTATTTGTCAATAAACTCCTTCCTGTTCCAGTTGAGGGCTGACACAAGGCTTTGCAAGCTCAGTCATATTCGCTGTTTCTGCGGATGCCATTGTGGTGGTTTGCTTTAGTGAATAAGAACCAAGGATTTGTAAATCATGTATTGATGACCTGAAGAGAAAAGAAAAGAAGTTATGCTGGAATGAAAGGGCAATACCTGCCTACATGAGATCTCATCTCAAAATAGATATATATATGTGTGTGTATATGTATATGTATATATATTATAATATATAAAATTACATATTTTATAATTATGTATATAAATAATATATAAATATATTTTGTAATAATATACAAATAAAATGAATAGCGTGGCACAGTTGTTAAAATCAAAGTCCAACCATTAGCTCTCTCTGGCTCTGATGTTTGTTCCTATCTCAACAGAGGACACATGAGCCTCCGGAGGAGCCCGTGTCTTTGGCTCCCGTTTTCCTCCCAGAGCCTCCTGTTACTTCAGTCACTCTGTCGCTGCCGCTGCCGCTCTGATGGTTTGAATGAGAAGTGCCCCCCATAGGCTCATGTATTTGAACACTTGGTCCCCAGTTGGTGATGCTCTTAAGGGCTGTGATGGCCCTTTTAGAAGTTGGAACCTTGATGGAGGAGGCACGCCATTGGGGGCGGGCCTTAAGGGTGTATTGCCTCACGCCACTTCCTGCTACTCTCTCTGCTTCCTGCGTTTTGATGAAATGTGTTCAGGTCTCTGCTTCTGCCGCCATAGCGGGCCTTCCCTGCCACAGTGGATTCTCGCCCTCTGGAAATATAAGCCCAAACAAACTCTTTCTTACGTTGTTTTGGCCATGGTTTTTGTTTTGTTTTTCTAGACAGGGTTTCTCTATGTGGCCCTGGCCATTCTGGAATTATTCTCAGGAGTTTGAACCAGAAGCATCTGAAATGTGTCCTTTCCTAGACATTGTTGCTGCTACCCAAGCCCAAACTCACATGGCTTACTAGTCACCGACTTGGCATGGCATCTTTTCTGATACTCCTAAATCTTCCACATTCCCATCATCTCTGCAGTTCTGGCCTAAGGATTTTTTTTTTTTTAAGTCTAAATCTTTTTTTTTTTTTTAAGTGGTGCCATCTATCTTCCAAAATACATCACGTATTTTTTTGGACAACTCTGTGGAGTACTATTCAGGAGGCTAATGAGCCTCACCTCTTGCTTTACTGTAATCCTACCTGGAAAATTCAAAATAACAACGGCCATCCAGGCCTCTTCCTCTCATTTGTAGAGTTTTGGATTGAGTAGTTTTAGAGTGGGACCCTGCTGCTGATAGTCTAAAGTGCTCGGCCTGAGCAAAGAACAAACAGCTCTAGGGAAATAGGCTCAAATACCAAGCATGGCTGTCTTTGCTGTCTCCCTCTCCCACCATGCCCATTCTCTGTCCTGCACCATGCCCAGCCTTCTTCCACCTGCTTGAAGATTGTGCTTCCTGTGGTGGTAGCTCCTGCTTGCATTTCCTTATTAGCACCACTTCCAGTGTGGGCTCATCCCAAATAATGCGCCTTCTTGGTAAGACCTGTGTCATCATAGGTTTTCTGGCCCCAAATACCTGACTCAGAGGCTGAAGAGGAATTATAAATGCTCGGCCTATAGCTCAGGCTTGTTACTAGTGAACTTTTACACTTAAATTAACCCATATTTCTGTTTATGCTTTGCCACATGGCTCATGGCTTTGTTACCTCATTTTTACACATCCTGCTTGCTCAGCAGCTGACTGGCGAATCTCCTGACTCCACCCTTCTCCTTCCCATCATCCTTAGTTTGGTTGCCTGGCCTATACTTGGCTGCTGGCCAATCAGTGTTTTATTAAACAAATTCAAGTGACAAATCTTTACAGTGTACAAGAGGATTATTTTCCAGCACACCTGTCTCCATCCAGTTCTACATTTATGTGTCATTCTTTGAACACTGTTTGACTTCCCTACTAGACTATAATCTCTGAGGGCGGAGACCCTGTTTGCATTCCTCACCACTGTATCTCCCAGCTGGTAGGGCAGAGGACTTAACCCTAATCCTAATCCTAACCCTAACCCTAACCCTAACCCTAACCCTAACCCAAGTGACTAAATGAAGGAAGAGTTGTCCCACTGGTGTGGGATTCAAATTCTGCTACAAAATTCTTGCCACCAACCTAATGAACATGGCCATGAGAAAAGCCAGGTATTCGGTAGAAAGACAGGGTAAAGCTCAAAATGAGCTGGGTTGTTATCAATGTAACAACAATGTCCACAGAAAGGAAGGATTCCATTAAACCACAGGGTAGAGACACAGGAAGGTGGGCTATTGGTGGGCTGGACCATAGAATGATGGGAGGCCTTGAGGAGACTCCTGCTAGTCAGATCTGGTCTTCCATTTTGCCCTCGATGGTTCTCTGCCTGTAACTAAAGGGATACGGCACAAGAGCAGATAGGAAGCATTCATCCCAGTAATCCCACTGGACTTGACGGCACAAGGAAGAGGGTACAGCAGAGCATGTAGAGGGGGTGTTTTGGTGACAGAGAGAAAACCCCCAAACTAAGGGTGGTATAGCTAATTTGAGGTTTAGACTCGGAGCCAGACTTCCTAGTTACACATCTCTGTAGGTTGCTCTGCTGAGTGACCTCAGGACAGCTTCTCTGTGTTCTTTATACTCCTACTTCCAAACTGAAGTATGTAGATGATAACAGCCCCCACCTCACAGTGTGTGCATTAGATTATATAAATTACAATAATAGTACCTACCTCACCATATACATATTAAGTTATGTAGATGATAACAGTCCCCTCCTCACAGTGTGTGCATTAGATTATATAAATTACAATAGCAGCACCTGCCTTAACATGTTCACATTATATAGATGATAACAGTCCTCACCTCACACTGTATGCATTAGATTATATAAATTACAATAACAGTGTCCACTTCATCATATACACATTAGATTATATAGATAACAGTCCCCACCTCACAGTGTGTGCATTAGATTATATAGATATCAGTAGCAGTACCCATTTCACAGCATGTGCATAATATTCTATAGAGTTTCTATGGCATGAACTCATAACAAATGGAATTACATAACAAATTCTTCCTAAACAAGCACCAACCCCCTTCTTCCACCACTGAATATCATTTTATTTTGTATTGTGACACATCAGTCTCCCCACTGTTGCTCTTGTTCCAGTGAATACAGGTTGGTGCTTTGGCAACTGCACGCTCTTGAAACACACACACACACACACACACACACACACACACACACACACACACAGAGTCTCTGGGGAGCAAGCCAAACTTCCTGCCATCACATGAGAATGGACCTCCGATTTATGACTCAGATCAAACTGAAGGCTGTTCATGATTCCTGAAGTTCCCAAAGATCCTAACTGGACACATGACTTATTTTCCAGTCTGAGACTGTCTGTGAAGCCTTGTTTTTAAATCTCTGCTCCGTGATCACTCCACTCTCCATGCCAGCAAGCATGTACTTGTACATCTCCTATTGTACAAAGAAGAGCCTGTATGAGTGTTCTTCCTTAGACGGCCATGGAGTCACCATGATACACAGAACATTTCCTCCAGACCCCCGTTATCACTGAACATATTTCTAGGGACAGGGATAAAGGAGGTATATTGGGACAAAATACTTGCCAAAAGCGATCTAAAGAAGTCATTTTGGCTCACAGTCAAAGGGTACAGTAATCCATCATGATCAGGAAGCCACAATGGCAGGAATTGAAGGAAGACATATATCCGCAGTCATGAAACAGACAGATGAAGGCTTTATCTGCTTTCCTCTTTATGGGGTGCAGTGAAATGTATTAATGACATTCAACAAAGTAAGGCTCCACAAGCTCCTCCTTTTCTTCTAGGAGTCTGGGATGGAACTGTGAGGGGAGAATTGCAGTGCATGAGGACTGAGCAGGGACAGGGACCCCTCAGCAGGTGAGGCCTTCTCTCTTCTTCTCAGGTCCTTGCTTGGGAGGATGATCTTGGGCTTTCTTACTTCTCAGAGGCTATGTGGACCATAAGGTCCATTGTCCTGCTGTATAGCCAAATTCCTGGTCACACCAGGAACTGAGCTGGACAAAGTGGTCATTGAGGACAATGCCAGCTCCAGTGTCAACGTTAGAAGAGTGGGTGCTGCTGTTAAAGTTGCAGAAAGCAACCTATGTTCCCCCTTTTATTACCTGGGACCCCAGCCCAGGCTTAGCCCACAGTTAGAGGGGGTCATGCCTCCTCAGTTAAATATCTTGGAAATGTCCTCACAGACACACCATAGACATGTCTCCTAATGATTCTACATGCATTCAAGATGACAATGAAGGTCAAACATACATGGGCTGTCCCATTTAGTTACAAGTCCTAAATCAAAATGCTGTGGGCATACAGCAAACAGGAAGAACATTACATATATTATATATGCTTATTAGATCAGCGTCAACAGAGGGATGTTCCTGTTACAATCGTGCAGACTCATCTGAGATTTCTATTTGATTAGCCCTCCATTGTAAATAACTATGGTGGTTAATTGTATCAAACCGACTGTGCTAGAGGTTTCCCAGATATTAAGTCTAACATTATTCTGAGTATGAGAGTGTTTGTCAATGAAAGTAATACTTGAATCGGTAGACTTGGTAATACACTGTTCTAATGTGAGGGAGACTCAACCAGATTACAGAAGTCTGGAACAAAGAGGCTGGCTACTCCAGGAAAGATGGTTCCTCCCCTCGGATTGCCCAGAGCTGAAGCATTGCTTTGCCTTGTTTCCTGTCTCCAGGCTCTAACTGCAGTACCAGTCACTGTGGCTTTCTGGCCTTCCTGGCATTTGCCTAGAGCAGTATACTCTATCTGGCCTCTGGCTAAGTCCTTTGGGCCCAGAATGATGAACGTGGCTTTCCTGAGGCTCTAGTGTGCAGCTCAGACACTCTGAGCTTTCTCAGCTTCCAGTAATTCTATCAGCCAATTCTTTGTAACAAATCTCTTTGCATATGTATACACACACTGCACCCATACACCACACACTCACACCACACACATGTACCACACACACACACACACACCCACACACACACCACACCACACATACACCATACATACCCCACACACATACACACACATACC